AATGTAATTACCGTTAATCTGTTCCGGCGTCCGCGGACCACGCGTCAGGGGCGGAAAAACGGCCGCTGACCACGCGGCAGGGCAGAAAAATGGCCGCGGACCACGTGTTGGGAGGAAAAATGGCCGTGGACCACGTGGAATGGGCGGGAAAATGGCTGCGGACCACGTGGCACGGGCGGAAAAATGGCCGGAGACCACGTGGAATGGGCGGAAAATGGCCGCGGACCACGTGGAACGGGCAGGAAATGGCCGTGGATCCGGTTCGTAAGTCAAGGTGAGTTCGTAAGTAGAGGTAAATTTTTGGGGCCAGAGCTGGTCATATCTCGAAAAATTTGTAAATAGGGGCGTTCATAAGTAGAGGTACCACTGTATAAGGCTCTGGTTGACTGTTGCAGAGACAGCTTGCTATTACTCTATTTAATACTGTAGAGGAGAATAAGCTCATAGGACTCTCTTGGAGCTCTCCAAGGTCCTGTTTCCCTTTGCCCCCCTTTTTTTCCCACCAGCTGTGCCCCCTTGTTTTATTGAGGTTCTTCCTGTGCCTAGACATTGCCTACACAGCTCCTGTAGAAGCTTGTAGACCACATGAACATAAGAAGTGGCCTGTACTACTGTCTAGTCCAGATCAATTAAATTCCCATATTCTCCCCACTTGCAATCATGGATGGCAGATATAATGGAATCCCCATTGCACATAGGCAATGCCCTTGTGCCACTGATGAATCCAAAACCCTAGAACATGGTTTTCTAAGGTGTGAATTCTATGTAGAACTGCACTCTCAATTTCCATCATAATAGAAAGCATGTCTGGTCATCTTGATCAAAGTTACTTGGAAGTTTTGTTAAGCAAAAGATATCCTGAAATCAGCTGTTTAATTGCCAAGTTTTGTGCCTTACCTCAATGCCACATCATATCCAGCTTTGTCAATAGAAGCCCACCATATGTTTAGCTGTTATAATGCTATTATATTTTTGGATTGTATTGGTTTGTTTTGATTTATTTTTGTGTTCATCTTGGACTATAATGAAGATTATATATGTATGTATGTATGTATGTATGTATGTATGTATTAAATATCCATAGGAGTCCAACAAGGAGGATGTGAGTAATGTAGATGTCTCTCATTTAACATTCAGCCACTTGGGTTCAGAAGTGACTCCTGCCTTAGATCCAAGAGGGTACTATATAGTAATCTAGCTGGAACTAATAGTTTTATTGCCAAATATGACTTTTTTTTTCCTTTTTCTTTATTGTTCCTTGATACTTCCTTCCATCTCGTATCAGGTATAAAATTACAGATATTATTGGGAAAGAGGATGGCCTGGGGACTGAGAACCTGCGGGGATCTGGCATGATTGCTGGAGAATCATCCCTTGCTTATGAAGAGGTCATCACAATTAACCTGGTAAATCCACAATTGTGAGGTGGGATGGTGAGGTTGGAAGATGAGGAGATAAGGAAGTTGAGGCATTCATTGGCTTCATCCTCCTAGATTCTAAGCTCCTGTCATCAGTAGGGCTCATCAAGTGTTGGCTTCACCAGTAGACACAGTCAGACACCAGTAGACTACTGCCAGAAAACTGTAGAGCTCCAAATGTCCCATGTGAAAAGCAGTGGAGGCTTTGGCAGAGCCCTTCTTTCCATCTATGCCCTGGCTGCTCATTGCCATTCCTCATGTAGGTCTCACTTAAGGAAGAGGTAGACCCATGGAAGAGCCTAAGAAGGTGTTCAAAGGACCTCCCTCCCTCCCTCCCTCCCTTCCTTTCTCTCTCTCTCTCTCTCTCTCCCTCCCTCCCCTCTCTCTCATCAACTCAAGGTGGCAAGCATACCTAATACTCCTTCCTCCTCCTATTTTCTCCACAAAAACAACCCTATGACATGTGTTGGGTTGGGAGGGAGTGACTGGCCCAAAGTCACCCCACTGGCTTTCATGCCTAAGGGAGGCCTAGAACTCACAGTCTCCTCATTTCTAGTCCAGCACCTTCACCACTACACCAAACTAGCTCTCACTAAGAGGTGTCAGCTTTTTAGAATTTGAGGCAGAGGCTTTGCCTTCACTTGAAATGCTTTCCAGGCCAAATTAGACATATTATTAATGGAATGAATTCATTGGCTGCAGAGGAGGCTTCTTTTGGTGTAGGTGGACATTCTGCTTAAAGAGTAAAATACCCATTACTGTTCTGCTATCTCTCTGGATTCATGTACATACATACACACACAGGCACACAAAACCCACAGTGAGTGCAAAGCATTGACCTAGAATGCTGCAGAACTGAGCATACATCTGGATTTTTTTTTTTTTAAGGTGACCTGTCGTGCCATTGGAATTGGGGCTTATGTTGTTCGACTGGGACAAAGGACAATCCAAGTGGAAAATTCACATATAATCTTGACCGGAGCTGGAGCTCTCAACAAAGTAAGCCCCTCCTTCACCTTCTTGTCTGTAGATCACAATTTTAAAATACAAATTGGCTGCAGTGAGTTGATTGGCCAAGATTCTGTTTGCTAAGGTGTTCTAGATCAGAGGGCAGAAAAGCACTGCCTGGTGGTTTGAAGTCCTTGCCTCCTTGGCTGTTGATATTAGCTGGAAGAAATGGGATTGCCAATGAATATGAATGTGGCCCTGTCCACATGTAACAATGAGTTGGCTTAACGTTAACATTAAAGTGTGCTGCTGCATTCCCAGTTGGTTCTGCTTGGCTGCTCCTGTTACGGGGAGGAGTTGCGTAAACTAAGGAATTACTCCCCGTGTTTCCATTTAGCTGAGAGATGGGCAACCCAAGGCCTGCGGGCTCTAGGAAGTCCCTTAGCCTACCAAGATGGTGCCCCCCCCCCCAAATTTGGTAGCAAAATGCCCAATGTTTAGGGACATCATTTGAGTTTTTGTTTTTCTACAAAATAATATTGGAAACAGGAGGCAGGAGCCTCTGGGAAGCAAACAGCTCCAATTTCTACCCTTTAAAACCCTCAAAGCAATCTGAAATCATGCTCCTGATAAAATGAGGCAAGATTGCTATGTATGCCAGAGAAAAAAATGGAATACATGTATAACAAATGATAATTGAAGGATTGTTTTTCTGCCAGGCTAATGCATGCTTTACTAGTTCTGTTCTTTTTTAATTTTCCAAACTCTGCTTTACAGATAGTCCTGGTGTTACGACCACTCGTTCAGCGACCATTCAAAGTTACGATGGCGCTGAATGAGGGGAAGCCTGGTCTGTGAAGTTGCAGCTGTTGCAGCATCCCTGCAGTCACGTGATCACGATTTGGGGGCTTGGCAACCAGCTTGCAATTATGATGGTTGCAGCGTCCTGTGGTCACGTGATTGCCATTTGTGACCTTCCCTGCC